ATTTTCTGGTTCCAAGTTTCAGCTGCTTGGGTTGGATAACCAGCAGGTTGGCGAGGAGAAATGAGTGGGGGAAGTGGGCGCAGCTGCACCCAGAGCAGCTGTGCTCTGAAGGCTGTCCACTTGAGGGCGCTGTTGTCTTCCAAAAGGGGAACCAACTTCCATTTCTCCAGCTGGAGAAGCTGCTTAGAACTACACTAACACCTGGGTTTTTGTTTTGCCACGAGGTGATTGGATGTCACTTAGAGACTGGCTCCCTGCCTGGCCTGCCCCTTAATTGAACCAGCCCTGCTGTGCTGCTCTCTCCCAGCTCCTGCGCATTACCTGTCAGAGCTCTGGGTGCAGTAAGTCCTCACCTAACACTGTTGATAGGTTCCTGGAAACGACTGTTAGCAAAGGGATGCATAGGGAAACCAATTCGACCACAGGCTAATTGATATATACAAGAGTTGGTTCTTGCAGCAGATTTCTGGTCTCAAAAATATCACCAAACTTGTAAATAAAGACCCCAAACACTTCTAACACAAAGCATTGAAATAAATGTGAGTTCTACATACACTTAAGAAAGATGAGTGAAAACAGGTGAGATGGTTGATTTCCAATCTGCTTATTCTAGTTCATAGTCACAGTGGCTGGAGCCTGTCCTGGCAGCTCTGGGCCCACAGCGGGAACCCACCCTGGACAGGATGTCCTTCCATCACAGGGCCACTCACACCCGCACCCCACTCACTCAGACTGGGACAGTGTAGACATGGAAGCTCACGGAATGTGCACATCTTTGGAATAGGGAAGGGAACCCAAGTACCTGCAGAAAACACACACAGACGTGGGCAGAATGTGCAACCCCACACAGACAGTGGCCCCAGCTGGGAAGTGATGTTTTTTCATCAGTGTTATAACAAAATAACATTGAATGAAATGGAACCAATGAGCAGCATACTTCTTTGAAAAAAAGTTTTTTCTTTCGTACTTTTTTATCAAAAGAAAGAAAGAATAGGAAGGGAGAGAGTGAGGGAGGGATGGAGAGAGGGAGGGAGAGAGAGAGAGGGAGAGAAAGAAAGAAAGAAAGAAAGAAAGAAAGAAAGAAAGGAAAGGAAGGAAGAAAGAAAGGAAGAAAGGAGAAAGAAAGAAGGAAAGAAAGAGAGGGAGAGAGAAAAGAGAGAGAAAGAAAGAGAGAAAACTGAACAACTGTTATTGGTATCACCACCCAGAGAAGGTAGGCTGGAACTTGCAGACTGAACCTAACCAGGTCGATTGCCTGCTAAACAAAAATATCAACATCTTTCATAAGATTTATACAAGGTCCAGAATCTCATGATGTAATACTCAAATTGTTCAGGGTAAAATTAAAAATTGCTGTGCATACAAAGAACCATGAAAATTTCAATTTTCCTTGGAAAGACAACCGACACCAATGATGAGGTTTCATAGATGTTAGAATCATCAAAGACTTTAAAGCAGCTATTATAAAGGCACTCAAATAAGCAATTGCAAAAACCCTTGAAACAAATGTTAAATAGAAAACCTCAGCAAAGAAATGGAAGATGTATGTGGAAAATCTGGAACTGAGAAATACAAAAATGAGCGTAAGAAACTCACTAGATGGGCTTATTATCAGAATGGATACAGCAGAGAAAGAGTCAGGGAACAGAAGACAGATGAAAGAAATTATCCATTTCTAGTTGAACAAAGCTTCTAGAGCATGGGGACAACAGCCAGAGGTCTAACATTCAAGTCACTGGAATTCAGAAGGAGAGAAGAAAGAGTGTGGTGCTGAAAAAAATATTTGAAGAAATAATGACCGAAAATTTTCCAAGACTGGTGAAAGATGTAAACTTACAGATTCAAGAAGCTAAACACATACACTGGAAGAAATCCATTCCCAAAAATATCCTAATCAAACTACTGAAAGCTAAATACAAAGAAAATACTTTGAAAGCAGCTAGAGAAAAATAACATTCACAACCAGGGAACAATGTTTGGGGTGACTACAGATTTCTCAGCAGAAACCATGGAGGTCACAGGAAGTGGTACAGAATTTTTTAAGTACAAAAGAAAAGAACTGTAATAGTCAATATTTAGAATTCTAAATCCAGTGAAAATATCCTTTAGGAATGATGGTGAAGCAAAGACATTCTCAGGGGAAGGAAAGAGGAGAGAATTCATAGCAGCGGATGTTTGGACAGAGCGGTAATGCCCTGGTTCCACACCAGCAGCTGAACTGGTGGCCCCTCTGGACACCAGGCCTGAACCTGGGGGTGGGAACCGCAGGTGGAACACTCTTACCTCCACCAGCAGAGGTGGCATCTTCAGGAAGCACTGTGGCCTTAGTGAGGAGGGCCAAATGGTGGGCACTGTGGGTGGCTGCACAGGTGGCAAGCTTTAGTGGTTGTGGAAATTGCCTGGGCAAAAAAGTGCAGGAAATTTGGCAAAGAGAAGGAAAAGTACCTATGACCCCTTGACCCTAACATGACTGCCTTTAAAAATCAATACACTTAACGTAACCAGAGGAACTTCATACTCAACATAGGTCACAGTCCTTTTCCACAGCCCTACGCTGCCCTCGTGCTCACTAACAGTTTACCGACCAGATGCCCGCTCATCCCTAGCAGCCCCCTCCCTGTGAAACACTTAGGGTATTCTCACACCTTTGACCTTCTGAGTCAATGCAACACAACCACCAACACGCTTCCTTTCTCTTCTCTGAGGTCACTCTATTTCCGGATTACAACGGCAACAACAAAAAAGGTTTGGCCATGTTGTGTGTGTGTGTGTGTGTGTGTGTATTATAAAGTATGCTGTCACTCTGCAGGGATGATATGCACGCCTTCAGCCATTTGTGTGGGTGTGGGTGTGTGCACGCACACACGCAGGGTCTGCCAGTTGCTCACCCTTGTGCCTCCCTTGCACAGCCATGGAAGTGTCGCTGAGACAGCTCTGCCTCTCTGGTTTCCCAAACGAATGGTTTGATTAAACTGCTTCTAAAACCAATCGGCAGCCTACTGGCAGGGGTCCAGGAACATTTTTCCCTTACTCATTGATTCATTAACTGAACAAGTAATTTTTGACTACTCTGTAAGTGTTGAATACTGCAGTAGGTGTTGAGAACATAGTGCTATACAAAACAGATGGAAATCTGTGTCCAGCAGAGCTCACGTCCTGGTCCCAAGGCAGAACCAGTGGTCAAAAGCTAGACAATGTAATTCCAAGTGATGAGAAACTTGAGAAGAAAAGCAAGCAAGGAAAAGGGCAGGGAGCCAGGGAGGAGATTTTTAGACAGGATGATCAGGACAGCGCAGGTGATGTCGGGGCTGAAGGAGCTGAGAGGTCCAGCCAGGCTTTTTGGAGGGAGAGTGGGCCAGGCAGAGGGAAGAGCAGGTGCAAAGGCCCTGGGGTAGGAGTGAGTTCAGTGTTTTCAAGGAATGGCAAGGAAGGCGATGAGACTGGAGTACAATGACGGAGGGGTGGTGGTGGGTCAGAGAGGTGGGGTGATGATGAGGCTGTGCAGGGGGTCTGTCCAGTGGGAGCCTTGGGTACAGCGGGGGGTCTAGGGCAGGTGCTGCCATTTCTGGGACCCCCCTGAGCCTGATTCTCTGAGAGAACACAGCTCAGAGCAGGAGGCAGATACCAACAGATGAGCTTAATAAATCCCTTTGGAACCCGGATCCCAGAAGAAATTAGCGAGGCATTATTTTTGCTCTTTTGGCTTGACTTCTGATTTCATTATCTGCAGGACTAGCAATAATTTGAAGATGCTGGGAAAGAATTCAATACAGGCTAATGCGGCTCCACTGCATGCTAGAAATCTAGCTAAGTGCTCGGGATTCTTCGTCTCTTCAACCCCAAGACAAGGGGGGAAATGGTGGGTCTGTGCTTTTGTTTGTTCGAAGAATGAACATAGAATTTTTCTCCCACCCTCCCTTTCCTTTCCCCTGGGACCGGCTGAGAATGGTCTCAGGTGTGCTAGGCGGGGGTGCGTGGTGGAAAGGTCCCTTCGCTCTAGAGGAGAGACATGCTACAGCCAAGTTTAGGTAAAGCAAATCTTGGGAAAACGAATTCTGCCCACCCTGTGGCTACTGGCCACGTTGAGACTTGAGTAGTCCCCGGCCAGGACAGCCCAGGGCAGTCCAGGGCCTTAAGCCCGAGGTTCAGAGGGATCAGCAAGTGCAGGGACCACCAGGCAACTTCTTGATGGCTCAGCCTGGCAAGGAGCTAATTCCCAAGAGGGCTGCAGGCTCTATCACTAACTCACTGTGTAGCCTTAGGCAAGTTCATTATCCATAAAATAGGAGTGGGGTAGGGGAGGGGTGTGTGTGGAGCTACAGTGATAGCTGTTGGGTTATTTTGTTTTTGTTTTTCAAATTATAAATGCCAGTGGATCAATGAAAAGGAGCCTGGAGAGTGACCTTAATGGGCAGAGCCAGGGGTGCAAACGGCTGGAACAGGGGAGGGAGGACTGGCCTGGGGCGGAGGTCCTGAAAGCTGGAGGGATTCAGGAAGGGCAGCTGGCAGAGTGGGGGATGGGAAGTGGGCGGGGTGAGGGGTGGGGGCCAGGAGGGAGGAAAGGCGGGGTCTCTGCTTTCCCCAGGCTCCTCTCAAGCACAACCTGAGGCGCTGCCGCAGGACTCAAGCAGCTGAGGGGCAGAAGCCTCACACGACCCCTAGGAAAGGGCTGAGGAAAAGCCAGGGTAAATGTCCTGGTTCCCAGTCCCTGTGTCAGCAAGTGGCCTAGAGGTCAGAGCAGAACACCCTGAATTCGGTGGCAGTGCTGAGCTCGGGGAGGGAGCAGGTGTTCAGGCTCCCACCCGCCCCTGCCCAGCACGCCCCGTCAGGTCCCCTCAAAGCCACTGCAGGTTCCCAGGCGTGCTCATGTGGCTACATCTCAGGCTGCTCGAGCTGCCACTCCGGGCTTCACCCGGACGCAGGGATGCCCACTCCAGTCGGGGCAGGCTGTCTCTTTTGCACCGGCACCCTCTGCCCTTGGGAGACACGGGGAACACGGGTGCGGAATGAAATCACTTTAATAGCACAGCAACACTTTGGGACCAGGAATCACGGGGGAGGAGAATGTGTATCTTCCATTCGTACGATTCTGCTGAGGTGCATGGCTGCGCCAGACAACCTCCAGACTTTTCACATTGAGAGCTTAATAAATAGACGCTGAAAATGCCCGACTTCAGAGACAATAGTTGTGAGTGTGATTGCGTTGTTTTTCTGCCCCCTGGGAGTCAGGAGGGCGCTTCCTGGGGCCCTGATGGGGGGCCGGGGCCCTAGGAGGGGTACTCGTACTCCTCGACGCTGCGCCGGCCGAAGTCCATCCAGCCCATGTAGTCCCGGTCACCTGTGTTGTATCTGGGGTCCCGGTTCTGCGAGTTCTTGACCAGGGACATTCGGCCGGAAGGAGCTGCCGGGGGCAGAGAGGAGAGAAACGGACGGTTACAACTAGAACATCAGCAGGTCTATTTGTAAAGGACAGCGATGACATCAGCCCGGCGATGTGCACGGTGCATTTCTTAAAGGTTGTCACGGGGCTATCAAGAGGGCGAGGGTGAGGGCTGGACCAGAATCTATGGGAAGCGAAGGGCCCGAGTCTGTGTAACCACACAGAGGGCAGGATTTGCTTGTTGTCACTGTGGTTCCAACTCTGGAAGGAGGAGGTGGGTTCACGGACCCTAGCTTTTCCCAGCTGGGACCTGCCTAGGTTTTTCTCCCACTAGGGGGTGTTTCCCCTTCTGAGCGGACCCTCGGAACCTTGGCAGAGACCAACCAAGGAGCTCCCAGTACCTACCCATTCCTATCCTTCACCTCTTACCACCCCCGAGCACACCTGACTCTTGTTAACGTAACTTGATGACAATGTTTCGATGTTGGGATGGTTTATTTAAAAAAAAAAAAAAAGGGAATCAAGTCCTAAGGCTAGGTAAGAACTGTTTTAAAATTATTCATTTGAAAGCTACCTCCTTTTTAGAAAGTGACGGTAAGAAAAAGGCACGTTGTCGGATTCAAACCCCAGCACATCGGGAACATCCAGGGGAGGGTGGGCAGACAGGTAATAAAGAGGTAATTTAATTCAGCCATCTCCACCAAAATGCAATAACCGGGGCTGAAATGGGCCCTTTGAGACGGGAGCTAGGTTCTTAGGAACAGGATGACTCTCGTCGTGTCTCCGTGTATAATCACATTGAGTGAGCGGGGACACGAAGCAGCGGCTTCTTCGGAAGCATGTGACACACTCCTGGCCCGGAGACCGCAGACAGCGGCCTCCTGGGTAGAACATCAGGATAAAGCTGCTCTTGTGCAAACTAAGGGGCAAGAAAAGCCCCTCAGGGGCCTCGATGGGCACAGCTTCGAGAGCAGAGGGACAAAGGACCACTCGGTGGTTCCCACTGTGTTGGGGGCCACCGTGTCCCCACTGTTCGTGATGCTGGCATGAGGCTGCCCTTGCCAGCTCCCGGCCACAGGCTGCTCAGAGGCAGACTCGGGCTTATTTATTGATAAACGACACAGCAGAGGCAGGCACTCTGAGGTCATCAGAGAAAGCTAGCTGCACGAAAAACCAGGAACAACGATCCACAGCCACGTCCCCAGCCTCTCTTCCCAGACCCGGGCCACAACCCATTCCCACCTGGAGCTACCAGTCGCCCCAGCACCTTCCAGGCCCGCGCAGACGCCTCCGGCCCGTGCAGGGCAAAAGCAGCCCCTGCTGTTTAACTAACTGCCCAGCAGCCCCTTTCAGGTGACCTGTTGGTCACAATATTCAGCAAAACTTGTAGACCCCGTTGGGCGCACACAGCCCCATGGAGCTCCGCAGGACCCACCCTCCCGCTGGAGCACGAGGACGCCCACGCTAGGGGCGGTGTCGGCGGCGCGCAGGCGGAAGTTCCAGCAAACCGGAAGACTGCGTCAGCTGCGCTGCAAGCCCGCAGCCTCGGTCGCCAGTGGGGGCGCTGTGCTCGGCCAGGGAAACTGCATTTGTTACACACTCGGTGTGCCCAGTCCCAGACGTGTGACCTCTTGTAGGTCATGCACTCTTCTAGAAGCCCAGCTTCCACACTGACCAAATGAAGACGATAGGACTTACCGTGCAGGGCTGTGGTGAGGGTGGAGAGAGGCGGGGTGATAGATGTAGCATAGGAGGCTCTGCTGGGTGCGGGCAGGTGCACCCTAGTCACCCCGCCCCCCAAGGGGACTGCTTCTCCTCAAGTCATTGGAAGTTCTGCAAACAATTTCTAATGCCAAACCGTTGAGCACTGCCCAGAGAGTGTCTCATCTCATTTAGAATCTTTAAACATAGTATCTACTACAGGTGAGTAAAAAAAAAAAAAATCTGCCCTGGCTGGCAGCTCAGTGGATTGAGTGCGGGCTGCGAACCAAAATGTCGCAGGTTCGATTCCCAGTCAGGGTACATGCCTGGGTTGCAGGCCATGACCCCCAGCAACCACACATTGATGTTTCTCTCTCTCTTTCTCTCTCCCTTCCCTCTCTAAGAATAAATAAATAAAATCTTAAAAAAAAAATCTGATACGATCTCAAACTATGTCAAACAGTCAAAGAAACTGCATAGTACTTCTGTGGGTAAACATGTATGCCTGGTTCATATTTGTCAACTGGAAGGGTAAGATTCCGGCTGAGATGTGTGGTCTAAAGCCTCTGTTAGTGTCAGTTCTGGGGAATTAGTTTGGTGGCTAACTTCCTTCCTAGGACTGGTCCCTGTAGATCTTTCCCGCAGGCGGGGAGGAGGTTCCAGACTGTGGCTCAGGGAAAAGCCAGGCATATTTCTGACTGGCCTCGCTGAAGTTCAAACCACGTCCAAAGACAGATACTGAAATAACTTTCAGCAGACCATCACCAGGACTCTCAAAAGGTTTTAGACTCTGTCTTCTGATTGGTAATTTCCATCTCTTTCCACCTAATGAACAGGGAAGGAAAACAGGAGATGGTAGCGGGGACAATTTTCCAAAGAGAGGAACGAATGTGTAATCAGTCTTCTGTTCTTTCCTTCTGAAATCGCCTGCTCGGAAAGGTCCCCATCTCACCTTCACGGGAAACCACACGAGACTCCAGAGAGGCAAGCCCTGCCTTCCCTCCTCATCTAATCAAGCCAGAAACCACGCTTCCGATCCGGGCCCTGGGCACACGGGTGGATTGGGGGGGGGGGCTCATGGAAAGCAGCCCACCTCCTGCCCCTCCCAGCAGTGTCGGCTGTGGTTTTATTGCCCAGCCACGTGGGTCCAGTGTGGCACACTGCCCCCACAGAATGGCGTGTCCACCGGCAGTGTCGCTGTGGACAAAATCGATGGAAAAAAAAAACCCTGCCCCAGTCCCGATCTCCATTCCTTAGGACCCTGGAGATGGATGAGCCCCCCTCCTAACACACCGAGCGTGAAGCTCTAGCCTCCTTCCCTCTCTACAGAGGAAACGGGTCGACCCAGGAAAGGGGCAGGGCTGTCCATAAGCCTCTCAGCTAGGGAGCGGCTGGACCGCCTTCTTCCTAGACAAAGACTTTGGTCCTGCTGCAGTGGGGAACGTCTCTCCAAGAGCAAACTCGCAAACATGGCTCTTGTTGGGTAATCATGGGAAATCACTGCCAAGAGCTCAAAACTGTTACTGATTCTCTCCTTCTGTTACAGACCTCTGTGAAAACTGACACAATGTCACTTCTTTTTAAACTGTTGTTGTCCCTGCGCAGGCAAGCATTCTCAGCACTGATCACTTCCTGCTGGAGGGTTCCCAAGTATCAGTGGCAGCGCGGCTCCTGGTTCCCTTGCCTTTACGGAAGAGAGTGTTTAGTGCGTCCCTGAGCCCCTCCTGAGTCAGTCATTTGTTCAGGGATTATCTTTTAACGTCTCCAGAATACGGTGTCACACTTGAACAGCAACACGGTGCCAGCAATTAGTTTGAAGAAAGCTTTTAAAAATGGGTTGCCCTTACTAATCAGCCCTCCACACTCAATCTCAGTTGGCTACAAAGGACGTCCAGCAAACTGCATAGCCCGATGCAGTACAACTCGAGAAAAAAAAAAGGAAAAATCTTTCCGTTTAAAGTGTCCCCCGTGTTTCCGTTTACCCACCTCCGTCGGCCAGGCGCTAGAGGGTTGGGACTGGGAGCCCCGCGCAGGAGTGGAAGGGGGGATGGGGACGCGCCATCGGTTACCTTTCCGGGACGGCTGGATGTATCTGGCCAGCAGCGCGCCCAGGTGCGCTCGGGGCTCGCCGTCAAGCCTCTGCACTGCCCTCAGCTGCCTCCGCGTCGCCTCCTCGTCCCGCTGTGCCCCAGGGCCCTCCGAGTCCGGCGGGGGCACGGGCTGCGCCAGGGCGCCCGCCGCCAGGGCCGCCATCAGCACGCACAGGCACACGCCGCTGTTCATGGCTGCGGGGAGCAAAGGGGAGCAGCTGTGAACGCAAAGGTGAGGCGGCGGTACCTCCTCGCGGGGAGTCGGGACACCCCCGGGGTATGGAGAAGGAGGCTCAGTCCAAACCCGCGCGACTCCAGACCCTCCAGGCGGGTGTCAGCACCAGGGCTGGCTGGAGCGCAGACCTGAGCCCGGTGGACACAGGAAGCGCATCCGGGACGCCCCCGGCTTGTGTTTTGGTTGAACGACACCCGGGTGTGCCTGGGGGCGTGGCCGGAGACCCAGTCCTCTGCCCCGTTTAGCAGCAGGAATGTCTTCTACTTTGCTTTAGTTTGTTGGGGTGTTCGGAGAGCATCTCTCTTTCTCCTCACTGCCAAAGAAGCAGAGGAAAGGCGGTGTGGAAATTTCCTAAAGGGAAGGCGAGGTGGGAGAAGCGAGACCCTCGAAGAAGGCTAGCACCTTCCCAGAGAGCGAAGAAGCTTTGGGTAAGGAAATAAATGGTGGAGGAAAGAAGCACTCTTTAAAATGTGGGAGCCATAAGTGAAAGCCGTATTTATACAGTTTCTTCAGGATGTGCCTGGGAATTGGCAATAAACCACCACACAAAACACAGGTAGGGTTTGGGGGGAAAAAAACAGAAATAATGGGCTCAGTTCTCGGTGGTTGGCAAAGCTGCACTGCGTGTTAGAACCGCGGGCAAAATAAAACAGCGATCCCCAAAGAACTGCGCTGCGATATTTAGAAGACGAACTTGATCTTGAAACCTCTCGGTAGTTTATTTGGAAAGCCTGTGAAGTACACTGCCCCTCTGTGTAACATCTAGCGAATACATCCCGGCGCGCAGGCCAATCCCAGCAAACGGACACCCCAGCGCCGCTCATCTGAGAGCAAAGCTGCTCCAACACCCCGCTCCCCACGCCGGCTCTCCCCGCGGTTTCTGACCGTGAGAGATCGTTTTCGAGTTCTCGCAAAGAAGACACAGAAAACTAGAAAAATAAAATGGAAGGGGCACAGCGTTCTTCAAGGACGCTAGACCCACGGACTCCCCGCGGGAGCGCGGAGAGCGGGGGACCTACCTTCGGAGTAGGACGCCGCTGGCTTCGCAGTTGGACCGGAGCGGCGGGGAGCCGAGCCAAGTTCAGCGGGGCGAGCTGGAGGCTGCGTCTTAAATAGCCCCGCCCGGCGCTGCGGGCCAGTCATCTGCCCGCCCAGCGCTGACGCAGACCGGCCGCAACACGTGCTCAGAGGGCGGCTGCTGGGGCGACAACCGACTGAAGTGGCATCTCTTGGAAGGGAGGGGGCGGTGGCCCAGTGAGACCCGGTTAACCCCTCCCCCCGGGTGTCCGCTGTCCGGCCCCCTCTCTCTGTCCGAGAAGCTCCCTCCCCGCACTCTGTCCTGCTCCCCGCCCTGCCCCCGCTCCGGCCCAGCGCCCAGATCTCCAGGGTGGGAAATCTAGGACTCGAGGAGCCCCTCTGGGGTAGGAACCTCCGGCATTTAGTCCGCTTTGGGGACTCGAGGGGCCGGGAAGGAAACTGGGGGGGCGCTGGGCGGGGCTCGGTGTCCGCAAGGTGTCGCTCAGAGGAGGGCCTGCCGGCCCCTTCTGAGCGTCCCGCGCTGCCGCTGGTCTCCGGACCCGGGAGTGGTCTCCCGGGCAGCGAGGAGGGACTTTCACTTTCTTCCCGGCCCCAGGAAGAGCGCTCGAAGGTCTCCAGGATTCCCAGAGCAGCAACTCCCGGGGCAGTGAGACCTCGTGGCCACGGCTGGGCCTCTGCTCACGCAGCTGTAACACGAGGGTGACACCTTCGGGCTTTGCTCAGAGTTTGGGGAAAAGCTGAGTTTTCTTGCGGGAGCAGTTACTTCCTGCCCGCGGCGCCCGAGGCTTCCCGCCGCCGAGTGGCGCCAGCGAGCGCCCCCAAGCGCCCCCTTCCCGGTTCCCCGGCGACAGCGGCATCCGCGCCTCCCACCCTCCCCGAGTACCCGAGCACTCACACCCCGCTCGGTCCCGCCAGAACTCGGGCGGCTCGGTTTGGAGAGAAGACCTCACCCCTCGTCACTAGCCCTCCCGGAGCCGGCAGGACAGACCCCGAGTCACCGGCGCGCCCTTCCCTGCGCTCGCACCTCTGGCTCTGAAGCGGGGCGACCCGAGCCAGCGAACTCTGGGGGTTCGCACCCGCCTCCGCTCTTAGGGCTGCTGGCTGGGCTCGCGTTCGGCGTCCCTGCACGCACGGGCTCTGCCAACGCCGTCTCACCCACGGCAACGCCCCAGTCTGGGACCTGAGGGTCGCTGCCCATCCCGTGTTCCATCCCGGGACCTTCGACTTCCTCCCCTCTTTTCCCTCAAAAAAGATCTGGAGTGCTCCTTTCAAAATTGGAATCTGTACTCAGCCGTGGGGGACCGGGATGGGGGGGCGGCTGTGAGGACGCCTGCCTTGGGGGTTCTGGTGGGGGCGCCTGGGGTGGGGGCTTGGCCAGGAGACACCTCTGTTTACTCCCCACCCCCACCCCCCTTTTACACCCGAGAGGCTGCCGCATGCCTGCAACCCAGAGGCACCATCATTTGCGGCTGATTAAATGCCTTCCAGTGATTTTCCCACGAGGCTGCTAAGGTTTGTATCGTCAGTTGGGGAAATTTGTTTTATTTACGAAGACGTGTCTGCAAACAAACGTGTCACAGAGCAGAAGCCCCAGCTTCCCATTCAGTAGGTGGGACGTGCCCCCATCCCCCCCCCCGCCCCCAACCAGCGCTTCCAGCAAGTTCCCAGCTGCTCCTGCTGCAGCTGGTCTCCCCGGGACCAGAACCCACACACTCCGAGAGCCCCTGCCCGAGCCAGTTCACAGACATTCCCTCCGTCCGCTTAGGGAGCATTGACTGAGCACTGGCTCTGGGCGGGGCCCTGGGGCCGCTGCACGAAGAGGGCCGACTGGGAGATGAGGCAGCAGAGTACACAGACCCGGCGTGGGGGGGTGGGGGGTTAGATGTATCTGGGGGGAGATGATCCTACAGGAATGTCCTGTTGCGGTGAGCGAAGGAATAAGGTTTGGGTTTTACAAAGAGGAGTCTGGCTGCAATGGGGGGGCGGGGAGGGGAGACAGGAAGTCAGGACCTGGTGAAGGGGGCCTGGGAGGGACAGGAGGAATGGAGATAGAGCGGTATTTAGGATAATAAACCACTATGAAACCTGTTCATTATGGTAGAACATACAAACCATTGGGAACATAATGCGTTCATCAGAAACAATTCAGAAATAAAACAGAAGGAGAGGAAAGAAGAACGATTCCATCAGCCAGGGAGAGCCACTGTTAGCCTGTTCCTGCTGGAGAAACAGGCGGAGACTGTGAGACTCGGGGCCCGAAGCTGACCTCCAGGTTCCAGGCTGGGAGGCCAGGGTAGCTGGTGGAGGATCGCCCGAGGCAGGGAACTCAGGAGGGAAAGCAGGTTTGGGCTATGGGGTGGGGTTAGGGGACGGGTCCAATGGTGGGGGTGAGTTAATGTACACGGATGGTCCGGGAGGAGGCTGGGAACTTGAGCCCTGAGATGGAACTTCAGACGGAGAGGCACTGGAGGTGTGGAGCGGAGTCTTCGGTGGGTAGGTGGTGTCTGGGAGTCATGGGGGGTCCAGGGGGGCAGGTAGAATGGGTGGGCTCCTCTAGGAAGACCCTGAGGCGTGACAGCAAGAAGGCGTGAGTGGCAGAAAGGCAGCTGGTACAGACCCAGACGAGGAGGGGCTGCCCAGGGGCCAGAGCGGAAGTGCTGCAGGGAGAAGCCAAAAGTGACGACAACAGCTTATCGAAGCTGGAAGAGGGCTCATCGGTGGGCCTTTCTCAGTTACCGTGCAGTGGTAGCCCCATCCCTTCCAGGACTGGGAACCGTGAGCAGGGTCGTGTTATATAGAAGATCCTCTGGGAAAATAAGCATGAAAAGGGGTCTGAAGTCCTTGGCCATAGGAACGAGTTTTTCTGCTTAATGGATCGGTGGGTACTCATCACTCCGACCGCTGTTCCAAAGCAAGTGGGGCCGGGGCTCACGGTTGTCCTGTGATGTACATGCCTACCTGCATTAAGAAAAGTTCATTGATTCTCTAAAAAACATTTGCCTGGTGCCTCCTGAGGCAGATGCTTCTGGTGCCCTTCGTCCCCCCGCCCCCCATCAGCCGCATCTCCCGCCTCTGGCTCCAGCAGCGGCTGGGCCGGCACTCACACAGCAATCCCCCCTCCGGCCCCCTTGAGTGCCGCTCTGTGCTGCTTTGCTTCAAAGCTCGGTCCCAGCAGAGGCTCAGCCTGGAAGCACAAGGTCTTCACACCCAACAGGTCAACCCTTCACCAGTGGGGGATGGGAACCCCAGTTTCCCACCCTCTTACATGACCATTCCAGAAGCTTCTCAGCAGTCGGGGGAGCCTGCAGCAGTGACCTTGACAACATCCCTCCAGTTGGCTTTCCTGCCCTTCCTTGTCTTACTCTTCTCCTTTCCTCTCTTCTGCTGTCTGAGATTGCCTCCCACATAAACCACCGGACCCTCAGGCCTGGTCTGATTGCAGGCTAGTCCCGGTGCTGACCCCTGCTGTCGGCAGGCACCGGGGAGATGGAACAGGGAGCAGGACAGACAGAGCCGCCGTGCTCACGGGGCGTCCATGCTAGTGGGGAGTCAGGTCCTACATGAGTGTAACAGGGCACTTATGGCAGGTCGTGGAGGGGCACCGTGCTGGGAGAAGGAAGGGTGGGGAGCGGGGCTGGGGCAGGGAATTTGCAGAAACACAGGCCTGAGGTCCCCGGGATGCACTTTGAAATGTAGACCTCACTAGGTACACTAAGGAACAGCGGGTTTGCTCTTCGGGGGGGACGTTGTAATGGGCTTTCATCTCGTCTGGAGGTTGTTTTCGCACCTCACCATGTGGGAGACGGCAGGGCTTACCCTAGGCCGTCCTCTGGCCCCAGGAAAGTGCCCTCTCTGTCCCCACTCCAGCCACCCGCTTCTCCTCACCACTGACCGAGACTTGCCCGCTGGGGCCCGTGACACCAAGGTCCCTGCCTTCGTGCAAGGGACTGAAAGCATGGGGACCATATCCAGATGCGACCCTTGAGAGAGAAAGAGAGTAGCGGTGAGAGGAAACCCATGACTGTTTACTGGTTCTGGAATCTAGAAATTTCCATCTGATTGTGGGTGAAAAGGTTTTAAGGTAGGGCCCATTAGAGTTAGGGAGGCATCCCCAAGGAGCAGTGAGGATTTCAACCTAGGATTTTTTTTTTTAGCTTTGGAAGGATCTCAAAGACATATATGTATTCTGCACTTGTGAAAAAACAAAACAAAACAAAAACTTAGCAGAATTCCCAGGGACACACTAAGTGCCCCTGAACTTAAAGTTGTTACGAGTGATCCCCATTTAAAGGCGGTCAGGAGGCTGTTTGCTGGCATTAGAAATGTATCCATTTGAAGACCTCTACTTTGACTCTGGGGTTTTTTCTCTTGAACATGTATTAGAAGTGCCGTTGTCTGTCCTGGAACTTCTCGAAGGCTCGCACCGCCGACGCTGTCTGCCGTCGCCTGGAGCGGCCTGCCCGAAAAGCAGGAAGTCCGTGTGGTCGTCGTGAGGGGTGTCTCCTCTGCCAGAGGTTCCCGCAGAAAAGCCGGGCTGAGCCGAGCACACGGGTGCAGGGGGTGTGTCTGGGGGTGATCTCGTGGAGCAGGAATGAGGCAGCAGGAACGAGAGAGAAGACAGTCAAGGCCACGCCAGTGAGGAGGTTCCTTCTGTGGACTCCATCCCAACGGGGACTCTGCGAGGTACCCCTTGGAGCAGGGCCCAGCACCAGCCCCCCTGGAGCCAGGAGGAGAGCCTGGTGGGCAATTACCCACCAACTCCCACGTGTGGTGGCAGGCGGCGGCTGCAGGGGCGTCAGCTCTCCCTGCACTTCCCAATAGGCCTCCCTGTTCCCACAGGGCCAAAGGAAGCCCCCACCAGGATCAGGGGACCAGTACAGTACAGTCGGGCCCTGATGGGACCGCACTTCCTGGCCTACAGATCGGTGACTGTCTTCTTGCCGCGTCCTCACGGGTTGGGGGGGCGGGGCAGAGAGAGAGAGAGAAAACAAGCTCCATGCCTTTCTTCTCGTAAGAGCAC